AAAAAGACAAGACCCGCAAATCCGTGGCCACAGAACAGCAGAATATGAACGCAATGCACAAAGTCTCTCGTTAAGCATTTTCCTCCTGTAGAAAAACATAAACACTTAACATGGCTTAATGTATTAAGATGCTATAAAAATATCAAATTAAAAATACAGTTCAAGTCAAGTCAAGGCAAGTCTGCTTTATTGTCAATTCTTCCACATGTACAGCACATACACACAGAGAATTGAAATTGCGTTACTCTCAGACCCTTGGTGCATACAGATAACACTAACAGTGGAACATAAATTAAATATAAAATACAACATGTAAAAATACATATAAAGCAGCACAAGGCACATGGCAGATAGAGTGCAAACCAGTGAAGTAAACAAACAGTGCAGATATAATGATTTGTAGTGCAAAAGAGCTTATTCAGACTGATTAAAGTGACAAAGCTCAGAGTTCTTTATTTAAACTGTCAGAAGAGGTAGTTGAATGAGGTACTGAGCAGACCAATGCTGGGTGCAGGTCCCAGTGTGTTAGTGGGAGGGGGGAGTGGAAGGACCTGGGGATGTGGTTTAATCACCACCACAGCGTCTTGTCTCCATTGGCAACACGCACGATTTGTGTCGATTGCAAGTGACGTCGCAGGTAGCAGACAGTGCAAGTGACATTGTAATTTAGTTTCTTCTGTCTTGTCTTCAACACATGGCTACTGTTGTAAAATGTTGAGAGATTCAAACAAAAAGTAATTAATAAATAGAACAAAATAAAAAATAGTGCAAGTCTGAGAGTGCAAGTGCAAGTCTGCAGCCAGACCCTTCTCAATTACACACCTGCCTTCTCTTACTCTTTGCCTACCTATATACTCATTAAGGCCCACACTCCACCCAGTGGTCAAAAACAGAATTACAACAGACATAATGGCTCTTACAATATAATAACAAAAAAAACACACAAGTTGACTTTATACTGAAAAACACAAAAACATACATGTTAAAATTTCCGAATGAATCTCTTGTTCTGGTGTAAACACATTTAACAAGTCCTCTTGTCTTTCAACACCATCAGTGATAAAGATAAGATTCTCAAAAGCAGACAAATTCATTTATTAAGATACATGTTAAATATTCAGACAGCAGAATGGAACAACATAACGTATAGAAAATCTTAAAGGGTTAGTTCACCCAAAAATTTAAATTAGACTGTGTTTTACTTACGCTCGAAGCATCCTAGGTGTATATGACTTTCTTCTTTCAGATGAATCCAGTCAGAGTTATATTAAAAATTGTCCTGGCTATTCCAAGCGCTATCATTGCAGTCAGCGGGTGTTGCGGTTGAACAGTCCACAAGTCGTCAAATAAAGTGGTCGCATCCATAATAAAACATGCCGCAGACGGCTCCAGGGGGTGAATAAAGTCCTTCTGTAGTGAATCCATGTGTTTTTTAAAGAAAAATATTGGCTTGTGCTTTGCATAG